TTTTTCTGGTTTATCAGAATTTTTGATTTATTTTGACGTTTTTATTATTAGTTCTTTTAATTTTGCAGTTTATTTAGTAAAAGAAAATGTTATAATAAAAGAAGTAGAGGTAATTTAATAGAGATGAGAAGTGTTGAAATAAAAAAAAAAATGAATATTATTACGGTTAATGATACTAATTAAAAAAAGTTAGTTATAACTGTTATGAGAAATCGTCAATTCAATCCAGTTATTTAATAAGAAAAAAAAAAGAAGAAAATAAAAAATAAAGTTTTGAACAAAATAAAATAGTGATTCTTTTATGAAAAATATAAAACCAAACAGTGGCTCCTTTTCAAAAGAAGCTGCTAAATTTAATTCATATGCTAAACAGTTTAATAAAAAACACTCAAGTAATACAGTAACTTCTTTATTATGTGCACAACGTTTAACATTACTTCTTTCTTCTTCACAACCACCAACAATAATACCAACATTATATGAAATTTGGGATTCATGTTTACTTATTGCATTAGAAATAGAAACAGACGCTACATTACTTAATTTACTTATGACAGTTATTACTCATCCATTATTTTATGAAAATTTCTCATCAGATACATCAACTAATATGTATTCATTGTATCGTGATCATTTAAAAAAAACACTTGACTTTGTAATTAAAGGTTTGTCTCGAATGACATTCGACATTGTTCTACCATCTGCAATTTATAGAGGAACAGTAGATTCTCTTCACACAGAATTAGAAAAGAGAACATGTTCGATTGATGCAGAAAGACCAGTAGTTGTAGCTCAATCAAAGAAAAAAGTGTCAATATTTTCACGATTTAAAAAAGGAAAAGATAAAGCATTAGTAATGAATGTATCTGCTGAGTTTGTTCCTTTTTCAGTAAAATTCTTTGCATTAGCATATTTTAGATTTCCATCGTTCAGAATTAAATTAACACAATATTATACAAATTTATTTCAAATAAAAATTAATTATTCACCAAAAAAATCACTTCTGAAACATTTTCCAACATTACTTTGTTGGGATGAATTTGACCAAAAATTAAAACCAATGGAATTAGAAATTGTTTGTTTCTAATATTTAATAAAATAATATTTTATAAAAAAAAGACACAATCTGACTAATAGGATTTATCATTCTTAAAGAATGAAAAAGCGTTTTTTATAATGACTTTTAGAGAAGTTGTTTCTGTATTAGAAAAACATACAACAAATAAGTTTGTTATAATATTTTTATGATATTATAAAGTATTTTTATAAAACAAATAAAATAAATCTACAATAAAGAAAATGTTATTTAATATTTAGAGTTTTACAATGGTCTACATTTAATGGATTTGATGTTCTTCTTGAAACATATTTAAAATATTATAATACTTTAGATATTTCAGATCCATATATACATACTATAGATGGTGTAATTGTTACATCAGTTCATCCAAAGATGATTAATTTTTTTATGAGTTATGAAGTAAAAAGAACGAATTTCTTTGATCCCGATGATGTTTTATGTTTGTTTTATAAATAAATACAAACAATAACATAATAAACTAATAACGAATAGCAACAATATCAGACCTTGAATTTTTTTTTGATAAATTAAGAAATAAAGTATTATTATTAAAAAAAGAATTTGATATTAAATTGTTTTGTAATTTCATTGATAAAATTATTGAAAGTGAAAATGTAATTACTATTCAAAGAATATTAACATTATTATATTCATATGCTGATCTTTTTAGTAGTCGTACAAGACAATACTTTTTTTTAGACTATCTTCTTGATAAACAATTTAACTCATTAGCATATTTTTGGGAAGAAAATGTTATTAGTTTATTTACTCAATTACTTTTATTTAAAGGAACATTTGCAAAAGTTAAAAATATTGAAAATAATTCTTTAGATGAAGTTGAAAAAAAATTATATGAAGTTCAAGAAAATATTGATGGAATAACTCCATTACAATTAGACATTAAAATTATTAAAAAAGTAAGAAGAAGATTTGAAAAGATAAGATTAGAAAAATTGACGCATTCTCAAAAGAATTTTATTAAATCAAGTAAAAGATTGTATGAATATTTTACTGAAATTTATAATGATTGGCAAAATTCAGGTTCAGGTGTTTTTCCAAATCTTGTTTTTGTTCATTCAATTAAAGAGAAAGATGAAGTTGATGTTGGAAATCTTTTCTGATTAATTTTTATGTTGTTCGTTTTTTTTTTTTTTTTGTTATTCTTTTTTCTTTATAGAAAAGTTAAAAATAAATTTCATAAAATAATAATTTAGTTTATTATTTATATAATTCTTTATAAAGTTGAAAAATCCAAAAGTCAAGAAAGAAATTTCATTATGTTTGAAATTATTTTTCAATAAAAATATTCTTGTAATTAAAGCAAATCATTATTTACTAATAGATTTATTATTTTTATTACAAATTATTCTATACTTAACGAATATGAATAATCATAAACGAAAATTCAATAGTTTCAGTTAGAGTATTTAATCTTATTTTTTTAACTTAAAATTCATTAATGAATTTCTTACTTTTATTCATTGCTGTTGCTTTTGCTCAAACATGCAATTCAAATAATGGTCAATTTGGATGTAATGGAAATGATATTTCTATGAAACCTTCTGCTGAAGAATCAAGATGGCAAACTCCACCAAGAGGAAGTGAAGATTGGATTGAAAGTTATCAAGGATATTCACATGTTGTTGCCTATGCTAGAATTCAATATAAAAACACTTCTAGAATTGCTGCTACTGTTACAGTTGTACCAACTGTTAATCCAAAATATAATATTAAAAAAATAACTTATGAATATAATGGTGTTCCATCTGAATCAGAAGTTTATGAAGTTTCTAAAGAAACACTTCCAGAAGAAGATTTAAAGATTAGAGTTATTGTTCATATGGATGGAGATGCTACAGAATATATTGATCTTGAACCACTTGACTTTGTATGGAGTATTCCAGCTGCTAATTTAGCACCAAATTATAATAAAGGACAAAAAGGAGGAATTGTAGAAATGTTTGGATGGCCATTTGAAGATATTGGAAAAGAATGTGAATTTATGGGAAAAGCAGGATGGTTAGCTGTTAAAGTTTATCCACCACAAGATGCAGTTTTATCATTTGATCAACCACAAGATAATTTATTAAATCCATGGTATTGGATTTATCAACCAGTTGCATATAAATTAAATTCAAGAATGGGAACAAGACAACAATATAGAGAAATGGTAAAAGCATGTAGAAAACATAATGTATTAGTTTATAATGATATGGTATTAAATCATATGACTGGAGGAGGAAATGATGTATTAAATCATTGTAATGGTGGTAATTTCTGGGGACCAAAGATTTCATTCAGTAAATCACCATATTATACTATGGGATTCACATATGGAACTGATAAATATACTGGAAAAATTAATACTGCAGAATTCCCAGGAGCTGCTTATGGTCCATTACATTTCCATTGTGAAAGATCACTTAATTCATGGAGTGATGGATTTATTATGAATGCAGGTTATTTGTCAGGATTACTTGATCTTGCAACAGAAAATGAATATGTTAGAGATAGAATTGCAACATGGATTGTTGAAAATCTTGGAGCAGGAGCTTCAGGAATTAGAATGGATGCTGCTAAACATATTAGACCAGACGATATTGCAGCAATCTTTGGAAAAGTTAAAACATATATGGGAGGAGCACTTCCAGATGATTTTATGGCATATTTAGAAGTAATTCTTGGAGGAGAAGGAGATTTGTTATGGTGCAATTATGGTGATTACCAATACACTAAATATTTAACTGAACAACTTAAAGCTAATGGACTCAGTGATGAAGATATTAAAAAGGTAAAAATTTGGCAATCATGGTATCCAAATGAATGGGGTAAATGTGAAGGAACTATTGACTGGGAAAGATTGGTAATTGAAAATGATGATCATGATCAACAAAAACCAGGATCATCATCAAGAGATATGCATGACCAAGGATCTGTATTAGTTAAAGAAAAGAATGTTGATAGACATAGACAATTTGAAGTTCAATTATTCTCAAGAACTGATAGAAATTGGACACATCGTTTATTATTATCATCTTATACTTTAATAGATGGAGCCAATGGTAATGATGGATTCCCTGATGGATTATCTGATTGTTCATTATGTACTGGGCAATGGTGTGGATCATGTAAATCAGTTCCAAAAAGACAAGCATATGTTGCTGATGCAGGAGGATATACTGTTGAAGGATGGAGAGGATCTGATTATACTAGAACACATAGAGACACTGCTATTATTAATGCTATGAGAGGATGGATGGGACTTGGTTCTATTTCAGCTAAAGAATTAGGTATTAAAGAAGATAATTAAAGAGCTAATTCATTCTTCATTGTTTCCTTAAATTCTTTTATTGTTTATACAACACTCTTTAATTAATCTATTTTTTTTATGGAAGTTAAAAAAGAAACTTTTTTGATTCTTCTTCATTTCTTTTTACTTAATTTCGTTCATATGTTAAACAAACTATTTGATGACATTATATTTCAATCACAAAGTGTTTTTAATCAATTACTGCCTATTTTTTAGGTAAAATTAAAAAATATGAACAATATAAAAAATAAAAACAAAAGTAAAAAAAACCTTTGAAAATCAAAAGAAGAAATAAAATCATTTTCAATGTATGATTATTTCATTTTAACAAACCATCCAATGTTAATTTATTCTTTTTCAATTACATTTATCTAACGTAGTATTAAAAAAATTCAGTAACTATAATAAGTACAATAATACGTAATTAAAACCAATAACTGTAATATCTCAAAACAACAAGAAATACATTTTAGTTCATTCAATAACAATGAAAATTTAGAAGATTTATTTATTAATAAACAAATTGTTAGAAAATAAAAGAATCAATAAACATTAGTTTTTATTTATAGAAAGAATAAATAGAACTTAAAATAAATAACAAAAAATAAATCAGTCATCAAATTTGATGGATTGAACAGCATATGGATCAATCTTACCTTTAAAGTCTGTTCTTTTTAATTTAGTTTTGGACTTTTGAAATCCTTTTCCTTTAGTTTCATGGAGAGTACGTGCAGCGTTAGGAATCTTCTCTACATCTCCATATGCAGCAGCAGCTTTTCTTTCCACATTATTTCTATCAATCTTTTCTCCATTACAACTGTAGTCTCCAAACTTACCACCTTTCCAACCATTATTTGTTTGTTTCTTTACTTTTTTCTCTAAACTTTTCATTTGAACTTCACTTGTTTGTGGTTTTGATTCAACCTCTTTTTCTTCATTCTCTTCATCAACTTGTTTTTTTGCTTCTTTTTTAGCTTTTTTTTGTTTCTTAAGAGCTTTTTTCTCTTCTTTACTTAACTTTTTATGTCCTTCTTCTTTCTTAGCTTCTTTTTTCTCTTTCTTCTCAACATTTTCATCTTTTGGTTTTTTGATAGCTTTTTTATCTTCTTTAGTTTCTTCTTCTTTAGTTTCTTTAATACTAACTTCTTCTTTCTCAATTTCTTCTTTTTCCTTCTCAACTATTTTGGCTTCTTTCTTTTTAGACTTCTTTTCTTTTTTTTCTTCTGTTTTTGGTTCTTTAATTACCTTTTCATTATTATCTTCTTTACAAACTTCTTGTTTCTTTTCTTTCTGAAGTTGGTTCATTTTTTCTTCAATTAATGTGTCAATGTCAATAGATGTCTCGCCTTTAATTTCAATTTTCTTTTCTTTTAAAAAGGACTTTGCTGTTTTCTTAAGTCCATTTTTAATTAAATAAGCATACACTGCTTGAGCTGATTCTTCGTTCATATCAATAACAGTCTAATGTCTCTCAAAGTTTTTTAGGGTTACTTCAAATAAAATATAATATTATTACATTTTTAATAAACCATACTATTTACATTTACTATTTTATTTAGTATAGAAAGCATTCTATTCATTACAAAGACTCAATTAAATTCAACCATTTATCTCTATTACACTCTGAACATGCAATAAAATGAAGTTTTATGTCATTTTGAATTACTAAAAATGCATTGTGAACTTCACCATCACTAACAACTAAACCTGTTACTGGTGGATTTAATTCAATTCGAATTTCTTCATTAATAACTAATGACATAAGATCTTTTTTAGTCCATTCTATTGAAGAGGTAAATTTTCTCATAACCCACCCATCATCTACAGGAACATCATTAACTTTTTTGATAACTGTAATAAGAAGCATGTCACTCATCAAAAAACATAGCCTTGGTCCTTTTTTAGGAAATTCATCATTAATAGGAATCAATAACCCGTAGTATAATAGCTTTCTTCTTTTTTGAACCAAAGCTCCAGTAGATTTTCGTAAAATCATTTCAACCAGTGATAAATCATCTAAGGAAGCTGCTGTTTGAAGTAATGACAATGATGATTTATGTATTGTTTTTAATGCTTCATAACATTCATTTAATGAAGAATAATCATTGTTAATTGGAGCTGATTGTTTGATTGTTGCTGCAAAAAACTTAACATATTCTTCTAACCTTGAAATTGGGAAATGAAGGTAAGTTGCTGGTGATTGTGGTAATGGTGGAGTAAAGTTTTGATTTGATCCATTAGATATAGAAGCATCTCTTTGAGTTTGTACATAGGCAGATATACATAGTACAACTTGTTTGTTTAATTCAAGATTTTCTTGGATATCAGGGAATGTTTTAGTCATTGTTTGATAATTAGAGAAATACTCAGTAAATACATTAAAATTGTCCAAATATTTTTTCATTAATTCACCTATTGGAACTGTTCTTTCTCTTGACATAGACTCTTCTAATCCATTAACAATATTTCGACTTAATGTTATTAAAGGAGTTAACACTTGACTAATTTGTTCTCCAAGTTTTTTATATGTAGTTGTTGCTAATAAAGCTTTTACATAAATTTCATTAAATTCTACTAATCCCTGAAAATAATGAAATTCATCATTAGCAAATTGACTAATTGAGAGTGCCATTTCAGCTGATTCAATTTTAATTTCTAAAGGAGTCATATCTGCTGATTTACGTCTAGTACTATATTTAAATTTAGTTTTACCACATAATGATTTCCTTAGTATAGCATTTTGTGTTTTTGGAATATGAATTTTAACAATTCCATAAATACCTAATGCCATTGCTTCTCTTGTTTCTTTTGATTTATTATCAATTAGCTTTGTTAATACTTCAATAAATTGATCAATTTCTTCTTCACTTAATGTTTTCTTTGATTTAATTTCAGTAAATACTGTTTGAGTTTTTAAAAGATCAGCTTGTCTAATATTTTCTAGTCTTGCTTCTTCAAGTCCTTCTTTTAAAATATTTATTTCTTGCATTTGAGTAAAGTTTTCTTTTAATAAATTTCTTACTTGATTTGATAAAGTATCTTCACCTTCTTTTGGGTCTAATGACGCTTTTCTTTCTCTTGACATAAGTATCATCATTCTAGGAGATGATATTGTTGGTGTAAGAGGTTTATTTCCACGATTTCTTGGAGATGCTAATGTACTAAGATTACATAAATCCATAGAATGTACACGACTAATATTTTCTGGTGATTTAATAACTTTTTCTGCTTCTTCCATTCTAATTTTTAATACCTTTTCATCTATTTCTAATTGTCTCTTTTTTCCTTCAACTGATTGTTCTTTAGTTTCAATTGTTTTAATCCTTTCATCAAGTATTTTTTGTTGTTCTTTGATTTGTAATTGTAATTCCTTTAACTCTTTTTTTTTCGTGTCTAATATTTGTTCTATTTCTTTTAATTTTTCTTCTTTTTTATCGTATTGAATATCACAAAGCATAACTTCTGCTTCACGTGAACGAACATTTGATTCTTGATCTAAAAGTTTTTTTTCTTTATCCATTAACTCATTTTCTTTTTTTTTTAATTTTTCTTCTTTTTCCTTTATCATTAAATTCATTACTTCAAAGTCTTTAATTTTTTCTTTCCATTCTTCGAACTCTTTATTATATTCTTCATTACTTATTTCTGGAATCCTTGGACTTTGTGATGGTGTATTATCATTTATGTCTTCTCCAAAAAATTGGGTTAAAGCTTTACTATCTTTTTGTTCATCTTCTGTAAGAAGTGCATCTTTACTAGTCATTTGCCATAATTTTTTAACTTGATGTAACTTTGCTATAAAGTCCACAACACTAAATGGAGAAGTTTCTTGAAAAATTTCTTTCCAAATCCACACTTGTAATTCACGCGGCTAAGAAGCTGTATAAATATTTATATATAAATTGAGGATTTAAAGGAAACAAACTGTTTTGAATGGACGATTTGGAACGTATTTAATTGTTTTTAAATACTCTTTTTCTATATTGATCCAATAGTCAAATGCTTGTTTTGTGTTCATGACTTCAGTCATTGTTAATATAGGAACTAATCAGATCCTGTTTAGAATAAAGAATATAACCAACGTGGAAGATTGCTCATAAGCAAAAGTTAAAAAAAGTTTTTCCTAAAAAAAGGATTTGTATTATTATTTTTGTTTCTCTCTTTAAAAAAAAAATATTTAATAAGAACTTAAAAAAGAATAATAAGAGATGGTCTTTCTTCTATTTATTATTATTCTTATTCAAGTATCTTTCACTTATTGTTACGCAGAATTCTGTAATGTTCCTACCTTTTCATTAAAACATTTAAATAACTCAACGCTTAATAAAATTATAATTATAACAAGACATGGTGATAGAAATAGTATTTTTGCAAATGTTAATCAAACAAAATGTAATGAAGGTGAATGCGTTATTGGTGAATTAACTGATATAGGAAAAAAACAAATGAATAATTTAGGAATTGCTATAAACCAATTATTAAAAGAATATGGAATTAGTAATATTACTTTTGAAAGTATTAGAGCACAAAGTACACAATGTAATAGAACAATTAATTCAGCAAAAGCATTAATAGAAGGATTATTAAATCAAAAAGTAAATACTGAATTAATTGATACAACAAATAGTCAGTATTTTGCACCTCATTATATTATTGATAATACAACAGTTGCAGAACGAAATAAAAGATTAAAAATACTTGAAGATACTATGAATGATAATATAAAACAATTAATCTTTAAATTTAAAAGATTGTTTAAAGGAGAATTTAAAACAACAAATTTGATTACATCATTTATTAATGTTTATGATTATTTACAAGTCTTAAATTGTTACAATATTCCATTCCCATCAAACGAAAAAGAACAAATTACTATAGATGATGTAATTTCTTCTGAAATGTATTTAAGTTATATGGCAGGCTATTTATTAGATTCTCAAGTATCGTCGTTGTCAACAAAGTATTTAAGAGATGAAATTATTTCCTTTTTAGATGGAACTTCAATTTGTAAAGAAACAAATTGTTCAACTTCTTCTTTGCCTATCATCGAACTCATTTCTGGTCATGATGATACGTTATACTCTTTAATGGTTTCTCTTCATCAACAAGACATACAATTACCTCCATATAGTTCTCACATTTTTATAGAAAAAGTTCAAATAGGTATTGATTATTTTGTCAGAGCGTCATATAATTCTCAAATATTAAGAATATGTAATAATCAAGTAAAACTTTGTCCATTCCAAGAGTTTAAAGATTGGTTGAAATGATTGAAGTTTTTTTAGTTTTTAAGATTTTTATCTGTTTCATCTCTTTATCTTCAAATTTATTTATTTTATTATTAAATGAATTATATCACTGGAAATACCCGTATTAAAGATGAACGTTTAAAACAATATTTTAGTGGTAAAGGGTGTGAATTATTAATTAAAAACCATATTACAACTGGTTTGTTATGATATAAAATTATTAATACTATTCTATTAATTTGTTAGTTAATGATTTTATTAAAGCACCTTTATCAAAATTTGAAGGAATTATCACTGATCTTGAGCAAGTTAAAAAATTACAACTCAAGTTTGCCCTTCAACTAATTTCTAGAAGTTATACTCTCAAAGACTGGAAAGATTCTATTACTATACATCCTATTACAACAGGAATTACTGCGTTTGTATTACTTTTATAATTTTAGAGAAATAGAAGTAATAAATTAGAATTGATAATGCATTACCTGATAATGGACTAGTTCAAGGAAGATTTTATGATTTTATTGGAAATATTGATGGACCAATCAACCATGTAATAATAACGGTTATGTGTTCTTTTTTAGTTTCAACAAATGGAGATGTACTTTGGATTGATACTCTTTCACATCCTGATTTTGATATTGTTTTTGACATATTGAATAATCAATTTGGTTGTACTGAAACAGATATAATTAATATTTATTTCACTCGTATTCATGTAATTACTATTCAATCATTTTATAAATTAGATAATTTATTTGAAGGTATTATTGTTTGTTTATTACTTTAACTATATAAAATACATTTATTGGAATATTCTTATCTACTTTAGAAAGAAACAAAAAGTCAAATGGTAGTTATTAATTCATTGTCTCAATTAATTCAAGGCAACTTATTGATATCATCTCCTTTATATCAAAAAACAGTTCAATTTTTAAATCGTATTTGTTCCATTGCATTCTCTCAACAACTTATTATGATAGTTTGTTTAAACCTTTTTTCATTTTGTGATACTTATTTTTATAGAATATTACATTTCAACAAATAGTACTTTATGAAAACCAATCACCTCATTTGGTTGAAACAGTCTTGAAAAATGGATATCCTTCATTTCCTACAATGAGAATTGCAATTATGTCTCAAGATAACCAAGTTAGTGCTTTACTTATAAAACCTCAATTATTATTTAAAGAAGACATTAATGAATAAAAAATAAGAAAGGGGAAATAAGAAGGTTAAATGTTGTATTATTAAAATTAAAATATAATTTTTGTACTTTATATTAAAATTTTTGATTATAATTTTTATTTTAGTTTATTAAATAACTTCAATAATAGAAAAATTGAATATTATTGGAAATTAAAAACTTGATGTAATTGTTTTATTTAGTTAAAATTAAGAATAAAATCGTTTGAAATTAATTATTTATAAGAATTATAGTAAAATTTCAATTGAATAAAAATTTTTTTAATAAACAAAGAAATAACTAAAATAATTGAATAAACATTTAAAATCACTCACAACCTGAATGTATCTATTAAGTTTTAATAACCAAAATTACTTAAATCTTATCTCCCTTTTTTTAAATAAGGAAGACAAATGTGTTAGTTGTTATTTAAAAGTTTGTTTTATGTTTAGAGAAGATAATTTTTTAAATATTTATAAAATACTTGACTTATATTTATTTTTTATTTCTATTTATTTTAGAGAATAACACTCTTTAGATCGAAGGTGGTACGTCTGAAACACCACACATAAACCCTAGTACAAATTCATACTTCGACTCTCCCAGTTATTATCTGGTTATGACGGTGCCTTTGAATTAGGAATGTATTAGGGAATGCTGCAAAGGGTGCAGCAAGAGAATACAGTAGAATATTACATGATGCAATATAAGAATCTACTGAAGTGTGGGTATGACTAAAAGAAGATTAGTCAAAGTATGACTAAAAGAAGATTAGTCAAAGTAATACAGTAGTAATGAAATGATTCCTTCTCCCATTCATAAAATAAGAAAAATGAAATTCCTTAAAATTAAGGCAGAAAACAAACAAAGGCTTAAAAAGAAGAAATAAGCAGAAGAAGTTTGAAAAACCTTAATAGGAAGAAATAAAGCAAAGAAGTGCTTTCCTCAATTTGCAAGAAAAACATAAAGAATAGGTTTAACAAAGAGATTACTCTTTTTTAATAAGCTCAGGGATGGGATTAGTCTCTCCTGAGCTAGGAAGAATATATGAAAATTCTATTAATACTTAATTAATTACTTTTTATTTAGAGAATAACACTCTTTTATTTTTGGTTCAATAACTAACTTTGTTTTGTAAATAATATAACCTCAAAGCAAACTCTAACTAAAATGAATGTGAAGGGTTTTAACAATAAAAAATTATTGAAATTGACCTTCATAATTCCAGACTTATCCATTTCTCTATTTCCTTATTGTATGGTTTTTCATCCATTTTACAACAAACATTAAAAGTAACTCTATGATAGTCATCTGACCTTTTTTTAGGGGTTTAAACATATTCTATTATGACTAGTGCTTTTTGCATAAAGTTGACATAACTAGTATCTGGTTTTTTGTTTATGAATTACTTCTTCCTAATCTGATACAACACTTATATTTTAATCGTCATAATATCTTTACCATTTGATTTGGGTTATAAAACAATGTAATTAGAGTATTATCCTATTTTATTGTTAATTCTGTTGATGTCTTTAAAGAGTAAACTAAAGAATTAATATTGATGATTTAGAGTAAGGAAAGATGATTCTAGTATGTTAGGTTATTCACTAAAGAGTGAAAAAAATAATGAAGATGTCTTGAATAGAAGTATCCAAATGATGGGATATTAAGATTATGAAAATCCAAGAATAAGTGAAGGCGAATTAATACTACTGCTCCAATTCTTAAGCAGATTATCCAAATAAAAAGAAATAACATTTGTTTGAGAATGTCTGTATTGACTTTAAGTTTTTTAAGAAAGTCATTACCATTTTGATATATACAATTATTTAAGCGAATATCTTCTTCATCACATAATAAATCAACTCCATCAAAGAATATACATAAACAAATATTTCGTGTAATTCTATAATAACTAATGGTGTAAATCCATTTCAACCATCTAGGAAGATTTGAATAATCCTTGACAGTTCCACTAAATAGCATTAAAGTATAAATAGTTGCGATTTCTAAAAAAGTACCAACCTTTTTATTAATGATGATATACCCAATTAATGCACCCATAGTAACATTTATTTGAGATGTTAATAAAGACATAAACCAATATTTTAAAAACCTCCAAAATGAAGGTTGGAAATCAACAAAAGGATAAAATACAATATCAAGTGATGTTGGGTTTAATACCATTGTTGGTAGGTTGAAAATATAGTCTGCAAGAATATAGGCTGAAGCATAAACCTTATGCGTTTGACTTTCTTTTCGTATTTGAACCTTATTATTCACTGAATAAATAACTTGATCAATAGTAAATAATGTTTTACTAATAGTTGCAAAGTAAAGAACATTTAATCTTTGAATTAGTGTTGTTTGGTTGTAATTTATTAATAGAAATATTGTTCCAATAGAAAGACCTCCAACTGTAAAGAGAAAAAGATGAAGGATAATATTTATGGGATATTTCCATCCAGTTCGATACTTTTTTTTAGTAATTTCAATGAATTGATAGGTCCACTCTACAACGCAATGATAAAACTCTTCAAAATAATGATGATTTGTCATAGGATAGACTGATTCAATTATTTGGAGAATATCTTCTTTTAATTGATTAAGTTGACGATTATATTCAATTGTTTCTTGTTCAGAAATAATATAGTCACAAAAGAAATAATCATGGTTTATTTCAGGAAAAATAAGAATAGTTGGTACAAAATGAGAAATATACTTTAATCCACTTATAATTTCATGACAAGGATATTTTAAATAATTTAAAATAATTACTTTAGGATATCCTATGAGAATACAACAAACATGCACCATATATTTTTGTGTTATTGATAGTTTTTGATATTTACAATGAATGTTTATTTGAAATAAAGACAATAATGCTTTAGTTTCATCACTGTATTTTTATTTTGAATGATGGTTCATAATATCACAAAATGAGTAATATTGTTGAGGTCGTTTATAATAATATACCATTTCCAACACACTATCTTGTGACATCTCCTCAATCATTTCAATTTGGTGCGTGATATATTCTGAATTGCATATATCATTTTCAATTTGTTTCCAATCACTTTTCTTGACTCCAATTAAACAGATACTTTGTACATATCTTTTGTCTTGTTGAATTATCTCAGATAAAAGAGTTGAATTGGGATATTGAATATCAAAAACAAGTTGTCTGATTGTACTAGCATTTGATGTGTATTGAGTTTGGATCATATGATTGAATCTCAAGTTTTCATCTTATCTACTATATCTCGTTTTAATATTATTATCAAACCCAAGATATGAAGATCAATTTTTATTAAACAATAACACAATTTCAATTTTAATCTAACAAGCTTTTAATATGAAGTGTTGTATTTTACATTTACTTATATTCAATCAATTGTATTAATACTTTAAATAATTACATTGTTATTAGGCTAAACATAAAAGACTAATTAATTGATATCTTTTTTTTTATCAGATAATATGATGGTTAAACTGTTATTAATTGATAAAGTTTTATGTTTAAGCTATTAAATAACACCATTAAACATTAAGAAATAATACACTAAAACATTTTTGAAATTAGTAACTTTATTTAGTAAGTCTTTTTTTATAATTTATGAACAATCGCAATTTTTTTAAATTCAAGTTTTATTCATCTCTTAGTAAAATGTATTATTTATAATGATTACCGTAAAATATTAATTTGAAGTAATGCTGTAAGAGTTTAAAAGCTTAGTTTTATTTTCAAGTTAATTAATGTTTTGAATAAGTCAAATCTTCATTTCTTAAAAGATAGGTGATTTGAACAACGAAATAAAGTTGGTGATTAATTTTTTTATTACACTCAAAAAAAAAGAGGATTAACATCATTCTCAGAGTGAGATAATGATAGTGATTGAGTGTAAATTGTAAATTAAAAATAATAACAAAAAGTATATCAATCAACACGTGAAATATGTAAAGTGATCATATCTTGTGGTTGTGCTTCAAGTCCATCAAACCATAAGCAAAGAAATATTCCAAATGATATAGTTTCTATTAACAAAGAGAAAAATGCAATGGAACATAACATTCTAAACGTCATAAATGGTTTAACAATTCTCGAATAACAAGTTGGTTTATGTAAATACTGACAATACTCTCGTTGGGATTTATAACCACAACATTCAAACTAAATAAATAAATAAATGGTATTTGAATAAAATTTAAAATGTTTAATAACAAACTTCATACTCTAATGACATCATCTTTGAGGTATTTTCTTTAACTAATGAACGAACAGAATAAGTATCAATGAATGCAATAAAAGTAACTGTAGACATTAATAGAGTTGTTATAAATAATAAAGAAAATGCAATAATAAATGATGGTGATGAGTGAATTTGATATAAATAAAATACAATAATTGCTACTATAACAGCTACAACTCCACAAATTAAAGATAAGCTTGAAACAGAGTAATCTCCCAATGCATGTTTGGAAGATATTTGATTATAAAAACAAATACAACCATGTCCTATCATAAAAATGCCAACTGTCTTAATAAGGTCAATACAAACAAACAATATTAATTATAGAAAAAAAAAACAAACTGCAGTTATTGATGAAATGATAATGACTATAATGGTAAAATTACTAAATCCAGTTGCCATCTTTTTATCTGAAAATAATGGAATTAATGAGATCTCTAATATTAACTTATTAATAATATAAAAAACAAAAACAAAAACAAATAATTATTTGATGTTATAAAAAATAAAAATCAATGAAAAATAAAAAAGATAAAAAATAAAATAAAAAAACTATAAATTATAATATCTTATCATATTTATCATGTTATTTTTCATTTTCTTTATGACAATCATTTTATTAACATCTGCCCAATCTAGTCCAATCCCAATTGATGTATTTCTTGTTTGTTATTATTTTCTATATTATTTATTTTCTATATTATTTATCATTTAGGAAGACACAAACAATTATCAACCAAAAGGAAATGCTTATTTAGCACAGGCAAAACGTATGGAACAATTTAAAAAGGATATGGAAAAACTGATATTCGAAGCAAATCAAAATGTACAAAAACTAGAACAAGCAAGACACAAACGAAATCAACAAGCACAACAAGTTTTAATGGCAGGTGGAAAAATTAATTAAAACTATAATTTAAATTCAATCAATTCTATCTCTTTTTTGTTGTTTAGGGAACCAAATGTATAAAATAATAAGGAGTAATAATCCAATGATATCAATACAAAAATATGTATTAACAAAGAATTTCCATGAATCACTAAATGTATAAATCACAAATGGAATAAAAGAATATGAAATAGATATACGTGCATAAATAAATGTTAATACCAAATAACTATAATATATTAATGAATCTTTTCCATATTTCTTTATTATTATTGGTTCAATTCTAGAATGAAATCCACAAGACACATCATGATGTAATGCTAACATTCCAAATGAAAGATAATAACCAGGATAAATACCATGCCAAAATGCACTGACTAAATTAGTTAATGATTGTTTATATTCATTTAATATTCCTCCAAATAACTCAAATGATTCATAGATATGATTTTTCATAAATGTTTGAATATAAATATTCCAAGAATCAATAACTAATTTAGCTGAATTAGAAAAGAAGAAATCATTTAATTTAACATTTCTAAATCCATACCACGTAGGTTTATTTTCTTTTACTCCTGAATAACCAAATCCAAATAAAATACCCATACATTCTGCCATTTTCCATGTTGCAAAATATCTAAATACAATTGAATAAATAAAAATCATTACCATACCCATTTTTTGAATAAAAGAATAATCATTTGGATTATTAATAACTATTTCATAGAAATAAACTTTTAATGGAACTATTATTACAATAGATGTTAATAATAATAAAATAATTCCTTGACTAAAAACAATAAAAAACTGTTTCCAATCAATTGGAGGAATTTTGTTTTTTAAATGATTGTTTGGATATGATTCAAATAACTCTAATGTAACAAATTTTTTGTATGTTTGATATTCAATGCAAGGCCCACTGAAGATAGATGGAAAGAAATAAAAATATCCAATAAACTCAAGTAATGAAGGAAATTGATCGTTTGGAATATTGTTCATCTTATTATAATCTGTTTGTTTTATAGTATTAGTATTACTTCCTTTTGCTACATTAAATGCAAAGTTACCAAGTTTTATTACAACAATCATTTGTAAAGTAGTAATATCTAAATACCATTGAAGATAATAGTTAATGTATTTGTGTATTTGCAATAAAGTTAAAAACATTAGGTTCAGAGAAAATATAAAGAATGCTGCATGTAATGACTTTTTCCATTTCATAGCATAATATGTTATTAATCCTGGTATTATAATGATCATTGAATTAATACCAAATACAAATAATAATATTATAACACCAATTATACTATAAACAAAATGTTTTAATCTTGGGTTAGAGGGTAAATATCGTAAAATATAACATAATGGTAATTCTATAAAAAATGATAAAAAATATCTCATTTGATCACTAGGGACATAGACCTTTTCTGAGAATGACTCAATTATTGAATACATTATCAAATGATTAATGAGTTTATTAACATCTGGTGATGTATTTAAATAACAAAAATAATAATATTAAGTATTATTTTTTGTGTTTTATAATTATATGTTTTAATTTCATAGACACAAAATTGAAAATGAAAAATACGAATTAATGATTTACAAATTGATATTTAAAAGAAAGTAGAATTGTAGAGTCTTGAATCTAAGACAATATTGGCATTAGTTTGTAACATAGATGATATTTTTTTGTTTATTTCATTTCCAAGAATTTTAATTTGATTAGATCCTAAAAAGAAATGACCATTTAAAAACAAAGTAACTTCTCCTTCATAACCATCAATAGTTTCTATTTCTACTTCAACAAAATAACCAAATTCAATAAGTATGTCTTGTAAAAATCTCATTGCTTCTCTTCTTTTAGTAGGTTGAATTCTTCTCTTAGCAGTTTTCTTTGTAGTATTTCCAACTTTAAATTCATATTGAGCTTGTTCTTTTGAACGAGTTTGAATATATTGAAGAACATCAATTGAATCATTTTGATCACTAAATACAATCTTCTTTATTTTAATGAATTGTTTAGTAAGATGTGATATTCTATGTGGTCTTCCAACTGAAACAGTTGAAAATTGAGTTAATAAAGCAATTAAAATGGCTTGAAGATCTGCTTGATAATTCATAGCCTCTATTTGTCTTGCTTTAAATCTTGGTATTTCATCTCCTTCAAATGATTTAACAGGAGAATGAGTTTGAATTTTATCGTTATGAATATCATTAATATTAAAGTTAAGAGTATTATCGTTTTTCTTGTTCATAAGAGAGTGCATTTATTAATCTGATTGATAATATTATTTAGTCCCAATCCTTAAATATACTAAAGAAACATTTTTCCAAAACAAAAGATGTGAAATCCAAGGTCCCAACTTCAAAACCCTTTGTCTTTCATTTAAAAATTAACGCTAAAATCTAACAATTTTTCTTGGTTCTTAATTGAAGGAAAAAAATTCTACGTTTTTAATATTCTTTTTATTATTATTTATGAACTTTTTTAATTTCTGTAAATTCATTTTTATAATGTTTTTACCTTTTTTTCTTGATTGCCGTGAAAGGGGTAGCTATGGCAATATATGAAATTTTGGAACAATAACTGAATTTGAAAAATGACCAAACTTAACAAATTAAAATCATTCGACTCAAAAATAGCCTATTTTATTTTACTCGAATGCATCTAGACAAACAAATTTTATTAATTCGAACATTATAGATTATCTTAATTAATCTAATTTGATTCGAGATAGACTACTAAAAATAAAACTATTTAATATATTCTCTTAGAAGATTCTAGATACTCATTTGAAACTAAACAAAGATCTTAAAGTCTATTCGTTTTTTTTTTTTTAAATTCTAATTTTGTTTTACTTAATATTAATAAAAACAAAATTTAAAAACAAAAAAATTCTTTAAATTTTTCGTATTATTGTTTTTTTCTAAAACAAAAAAAAAAAATATAATTTTATTATCTTGAAAAACTAAAAACAAAAAAAAAGAAAAGTTCCTTTTTTTCATTCATTCTTTTTGTTTTATGACTGAAGTTCCAGAGGAACATTCAAATGATTTTATTCCATCACTTCCTCCTTCATTTCAAACAAACTTTGGAAATGAACGTTTTGTAGATTTGTTAAAAGATATTTTGAAGGAATATACTTTATTATATGAAGATAACAAAGCACGTTTGTCTTTTAATTTTTATTAAATACAAAAACTTAAATTAAAGTCATTGCACAATTAGAAGGATTAAAAGTTCAACCAAATGTAAGAAATGTTAAATTTTATCAATCAGATGTTGTTGATACTAAAAAACCAAAACCACAAAAATCAACTTATTCTCATTATGTCAGTAAAAAAACAACAGAACATTGGAAATTTTTACATAATTATATTTTACATCGTGACTGTATTCTTGATTTAGCATGTAGTCCTTGGGATATGAGTATTTTTGCAACAGCAAGTTCAGATAGAAGTGCTCGTATATCTACTGCTGAATCAGGTAAATGTCTTCAATTTTTAGTTCATCCACGACCAGTTTCTTCATTAATGTTTCATCCAACTGAACATTTATTAGCTACAGGATGTGGTGATGGAATTGTTCGTTTATTTAAAATTGGAGTAACAATTGATGAAGATCATAAAGAACAATTACCAACTACTGAAATTAAAATTGGTGATATTGTTAGTGGTGTATGTTTAGGTAATGATTCAATTTACACTGCAACTTGGGGTGGTGTTGTTGGTGTTTATGATTTACATGGAGAACACATTTCATCAATTAGTTCTAGTATTGGAATAAATGATCATATCACCTCATTAGCTTCTGATGTTTATTCCCCAATTCTTTCATGTACAGCAACTGATGGTAGTTTAAGACTTATAGATATTAGAACTCCAAATCATGCTCGAATAGAATGTATTAATGCACATTCAGAGTTTGTTATTAATTAGTTTTTTTTATTTATCAACCAATTATTGATTTAAGTAGTTCATGCATTTCAGCTCAATTTTGTGAACAAGGAAAAACAATTGTATCAACGGGTTTTGATAAAATAGTAAAAATATGGGACATTAAAATGATGAAAGCCCCTAAGGCAATGTATAAAATATCATATCCTTCTAAAATAAATATCTCTCAAAACGATAAATTCCTTGTACAAGCTGAAGATAAATCCTGGATTATTATTGATTCAAATGGACTACGTCATGGTAAGTTAAAAATTGGTGCTGATGTTTTACAAAGAGAACATTTAAGACTTCAAATTTGCTCTTCATTTAGTTATGATGAGAGTGTTCTTTATACAGCTGGTTTAGACAGACATGTTATTGCTTGGGGAGTTCAAACTAATTAATTTATTTCTTTTTAATCTTTTTGACTAATTAACAAACTCAATTATTCTTCTTTATTGTCTCTTGTTATAAGCAAAAAAAATAATCAATAGTAACAAACCATAATTTCTGTTATTACCTTTTGTATAGAACAGTACTATTTCATTTAAACAATATTAATATATTTACAGAAATTCTAGATGCAGAACTATTCAATACATCAATAAAACATTCCATTTAATCTAAGTAAATGTAATACATTTTCTATTTTATTCTTTTAATTTCTTTGATGTAATAACTTTGAAATTAATCTTTTAATATTTCCATTTTCATGAAATATAAAACCATTCTATCTGGTAAATACTTAAAATAAGTTCTAACTCAATCTTTGTTATTAACTAATATGTATTTTATACAAACAATTAATATTGTTAGTTTAATTATCAGTTAATATTCTCATTACTCATTTATAATTAATGTTTTGAGTTAGTTATTTTAAGTTAATTAAATATAACTAATACTCTTATTTTTTTCAAATAAACCGAAGTTAAATATTCGTTAATGGTATTTTATATAAACCAATTATTTTAGTAAACTCATTAATTTACTATAATAATAACCTTTCAATAGTTAGAACAAATCATGGAATGAGAAATCATTAATTAAATGTTAAGAATTATTGAACTAACTTATTACAAGAGTTGAAGTTTTTTTTTGAAAGAAATATCTTTCCATATATTATGAATTTCATTATTCCATTTTCAAAAAATTATTTTGTAAAATGATTGGTTAAAGCAAACACAGGAAAATGCCAAGACTAACAATAAAAAAAAAAAAAAAAAAAAAAAAAAAAAGAAATCAATTATGATTAACCTTATTTTTTAGGTTTTTCATCATGTTGAGAAGTGAGCGAATCAGTTTCTTCAACACGCTTTATTTCTATTGAAATAAAGTTTTTGCAAGCATGCTCGACTTAAATGGTTCCTCATTTAAGTTGCTGCCTGACTTTTATTTTGATTTTAATGAGTAATATAATATTTCTCATTCTTTATATTGTTGTTTTAAGGAGAGTATATCCATAACTTACTGTTATAGCTCATCTCCTTTTACCTTCGACACCCCTTAAAGAAACCCTATTCCTTGATAATATCATTATGTTTAATTTTTGTGCAACAATATCAATTATATATGCGTCTTCTTTAATAAATGATAATTCTTAATACGTAATACCTCCTTAATATAACAATCCTTATAAATAATAATGAATAACAATACACGTTAATGAAGAACAATACACGTTAATGAATAATAATCTTTTATAATAATCACTCATAATAAATATTAATAATAATAACCAGTTAGTTTTGAATAGATATTATCTCACCAAAGGCACGTCATGACCAGACGATAACTGGGAGATTCGAAGCATGGGATTATTTTAGGGTTTCGTGTGGTGTCTCTGACGTGCCATCTTCGAATCTATGCCAAGACTAACAATAAAAAATAAAGAAATAAGAAAAAAATAATAACAGAAATAATAGTCTAATAATAAAAACTAAAAGAATTATATTAAAATATTCCTGATAATATTAAATTACTTTTACTTTTGGATTATTTGAACCAATTAATTTCCTTCTAACATAGTAACAAATGACATAGCAAGGAAAAGAATAATAGCTAATGTAAATTTAATGTATTTATATTTTCCATTTTCAAATTGTTCAGTTAGAATTTCACAAATAGCTACATATAAGAATGTTCCTGCTGCTAAACAAATTAAAATTCCTTGAATCAATTCAGAAATAGGAGATTCTCCTAATAATTCAACAATTAACACTCCGCATAATGACCCAATAGGGGTAAATGTTGAAAAGACTAATACAATAACCGCAACAATTGGTAACGATTGAATTTTTGACATCAAGAAAATAACAGTGAATCCTGAGTCGGCCCACTTGTGTCCTGCAACTGCTATAAAAATAGCAGTTGGACTTGTGGAAACACCTAATCCAAGACCTTCAAAGAAAGAATGTAACGATAAAGCAAAAATTAATGTAATAATTGAACACCATCCCTTTCCTTCTTCTTTTTCTTCTTCAGGATGTTTATGTCTATGAGACCATTCTTCCATAAGAGAGTCATTCTCTTCTCTAAAAAGTAAATATAGTTTTCAACTAAATTAAGTCTTAAGAAAGTTACATTTGTAATAATAAATATATAACAAACCCTGACATCTTTTCAACATCTTCAAATGAAGCATGACCTCCATGTGTTACTACCACTCTATCAAAGAAAAAGATAAATAAGAATGAACAACCACAACAAAAGAATCCCAGTGGAAGACCCATAAAGTCATATCCTGAATGGTCAATCATATCATTACCTTCAGCTAACATATGCATTAATCCACCAGATAAGAATAATCCACCAGCTGATGCACTACAAATATCTAAAATTTCACCAGCAAGTTTTCTGTTAGGTAAGAGTTTAATAAAGAATGGAATAAATCCACCAATCACACAGACAAAGTAACATACTAAGATGTAGACTGTTAATTCAAAGTCGAGCATCTCTTCTGACTATTTATAGATCTAAGGGTTGTCCATTTAAATAATTTTTTAACAATAAGGAACTTCTAATGTTTGGTTAAACTTCTTCATTCTTTGATTAATTCAATTATCTTTTCTTTTTTCTTCTTTGGTACCTTTGGTCCATAACTGCTTTGCAAAAATTTGTTTTTTAATTTTATTAATAAATATACAAATAGATAAAATATGAGTGATTTATTGGTAACCATAGATTATTTGTTTCTTCTTTCAAAAATAATTACTATAAATGAAAAATACTTATTTGATAACTGAAAATAAAGAAATTATTCTTAATAAAAAAAAGCAATTGTATTAATTCTGATAAAGAAGTTACTTCTGCCATTAACCTTCTTTTTAAAGTCCTTACAAACCAAATTCATCATCAAATTCTTGGAAATGATCTGCTTCATCTCCAAAAATATCATCGTCATCTTCTTCTTCATGTTCAAATTCTTCATTCATATTGAAATTATCATCAAGTTCATCCATACTTAATTGGTATCTTAAAATACCTCCAATACCTCCAAATCCTTTTGCAAATTGAGCTCCTTCTTGAGACTTATCTGTAACAAATTCAAGATGTGCACCAAATTCTTTATAATGTTTTGATAACCAATCAACAAATGATTCACTCTCTACTAATTGGAAATCAACTCCTGTTTCTGGGTCTTTTATAACTCCATTTTCTGCAGCTTCTGATTCCTTCTTTAAATAAAGAACTTTTCGTTCATCAGTTTGTGGGTGTTTTAATTCAATTCTAATAGTAGGAAGATTTTCCCAAACAATTAATTTTTCTACAGCTCCCATTTCTAATGCTTTCAATGTTTCTTGAACTCCAAAAACAAATTTACCAGTATCCATTTTAATATTGTCCATGAAAGAATTAATCAAATCTTTTTCAGCAACAAATTTAACATTTCTTAATGTTTCTGCAGAAAGTTCAATAGCTTGATTGAATCCATTCATTCCTCCATAAGATACATCAACAATATTTAATACAATTGCTTGAAGTCTTTGATCAAATAACATTGATTTGTTTAAGACTGTTTTAAAATCTGCAATACCAGCAAGAATAAGTCCACATACATTTGGTCTATCATCAGTAATGAAATTTTGTACAGCTAATTCACCTACTTGACGTACATAGTTATGTCTTTTTTCAAGTCTTAAACGAGCAAAACGAACAGATGACTGTCCTCCTCTACCATGTTTCTTTGGTAATTCAACACTAATCTTTTGAAGAACAGTACGAGTATTTCCTTGAAGAGTACCGAATAAAGTACCATTACCATCCATAATAATAAATCCATATTTATCATCATTTTGGAGTAAATCATTAAGAGCTTCAGTATGGAATCTGTTATCGCAAAGATATGTTGATGTATTAATTGGTTTAGGTGGTTCAAAATCAATACATAATAATTTTTCTCCTTTTTCAGTATAAACTGAACCACAATAAATAATAAGTCCATTTGGTGGAACTACGTGATACAACTTCAATCGGTTTTGAGTTGATGTAATGGCAGTAAGAACAGATTGTCTGTTGACACGTGATTTAATATTAGTTGCAGTTCCATATTCTTCAACTAATTTTTGCATCATTTTAGAGATTTGTTCCATTGGTTTCATAATAAGAGTAATCATTGATGTACCATCTCCTCGAGCTTGTTCAATATTCTTAATTAAACGTTTAGTTTGGAATAATTTAATGGCTTCTTCTTCATTCATTTCATCTCCTTTAACTTTGATTGCTTTGTTCAATACAGCCATGTTTGTTGTCTGGTTTTTTTTCAACCCTAGTACTTTTTTTGTAAAATTTTCAGGGTTTTCTTTGTTATTTTTTCTTTTCTATTTAGACTTTACTTCTTTCAATAGTTTTTTTATTATTTAAATATTCTTGTTATTTAAAAATTCAATTTCTTAAGTAATACATAGTCTTATTGTTCTATGAGCTTTTCATTAATAAAAAAAAGACATTACACATTTAATACTCTTTTATTACTAATACGTTAGTATTTATTTTATCTTGAAAACTATTAATATTTTTTTTAATAATGATTAAATGTTATATATATCATATTTAATCACATACTTTTATTTTTTATTAAATAAAAGTCATGAATATTGTTATTCCTTTTAAAAAATATTTCAAGTAATGTGCGAGAATGAGTATAGAATTAATTTCCTTTAATCTTTTTTAGTTGAGGAGTGGTGAATCAATACAAAACGTTACTGAGTATTTTAATAAATTAAAATAATTCCACTCATTAATATCTTTCTAATTAATAAATATAGATTCTTTTGATTTGAGTAGAAAAATTAAAAATAACTTCAGGTTTTTTGAAGTGATCTATTTTTGTTTATGTGATTCTAAGTAAATTGAAATCATAGAGTTTTCTGCTGTTCTCGAATTTAATTTAAAGTATTAATCCCTTTGATTCAAATCTAGTTCTTTTTAGTGAATGAAGACAAGTAAGGAATCCAGTAAAACTAAAAAGAGGGGTAGTAGAAGCTTTTGTATTAAAAATTTCACTAAGAAAAGCATTACACTCTTTAGACTCCATTCTAGTTCTGACACAAGTTCTGAAGAATGTGATGACGCCATTAATTCAGTTGAACGTATGTCACTTATAACGTCAATACCATCAATAACCCTTGAGTCTAGAAGCTTTTTTAAACCTCTTGAAAAAAGTTCATCTGAAATACTCAAGTTATCATCTAAACCACAACAAAGAAGAAGTATAAATGATCAATATTTGACTAATTATCTTTCTCCAAATGTACATAATGAAAAACCAATTTATCGATTGGTTGAACGTATCGGATTTATTAGAAGAAATATTGGAATTAAAACAGAAAAGATAATATTTGATTCAAATCAAGATGGACTAGATAATAGGATATTAAGTTCTAAAGTTTTTGGAAAAGAAAGTATTTTGTTTATATGTATTGCAGATGGAATTAGGTTTGGATGTTTTCATAAGGACATAATTGCTCCATTTAACAAATGTCCAAGTAATGAATTTTATTCAAAAGGTTCATTTATCTTTTTTATTAAAGATAATATTTCAGTTTGTGAAACTATTCTGAAAAGATTAAACAAAAATCAACCAAATATTGAATTACATTATTGTCCTGAAAAAGATACAGTCTTTTCTTGTATTAATGCTTTTACAATTAAATCAAATGGTGATGTTAATCTTTCTGAATTAATTACTCATTCATTTGATTGTAAAGAAATACAAAATATATTATCACTCACATTTCAAAGAAGTTCAATAGTTTGTAAACGATTATTAGCTATTCAATTTGAGTAATTTGTATTAATACATTTATTCATATTTTCAACATTTATTTTTTCTCTTTTAACAAAACAAATTTTTAAAATACGATGACAATAAAAATAAATCAAATCAATTTGTTTTAATAATCTTTCAAACAGAAGAATAAACCAGAAAGGTAATATAACCCATCCAATAACATTTTTTGTCTTCTATCTAAATTCATATATTCTTCATTTTCTTCTTCATTTAATAATATCTGACCAATTTCCACTCCTTCATTATATTTTGCTATTAACGCAGACTTTGATGATATTTCTAACTTTAATCGATCCATTGTATTCATCAATGACTTTGCTGTTTCACTTAATAATATGGCATTAATTTGTGAAAAATTAATGGACCACATATAATATGAATTTTTGCCACCTCTTATATTTGATTTAGGAACTTCTTGTCCATTGACATACCCTGCTTGATGCATTTGATATAATCCTCGTTTAACTTCTTCTCCTTCTCCAATTAATAAATCAGCAATTTGAGAATCAGTTAGAATATGTTTAATTTTTAATACCCTATGAATACTTGCTCCAATAACTCCAAATTTTGATTGAATGCATGACTCAATCATAACCCCCTTTAAAAATGCTGTCGCAGCATCAACCTCTAATATATTAGTATTATTAATTTTTTATTAATAAAAGAATAATTTTCAAACGTAATTTAAAACTATTAGTATCACTAACAAATGCTGATTGATTTTTTGCAATAATAAATGGCTCATCTCGACTCATCATTTCAAGATATTTTCTAATCGTTTCAGGTGCTATCTCTCTTAAGTTTTGACATAAAATAGCAAAATCAACAGGCGTTTTGCCATATGCAGATAAATCCCACATTTTTTCAATAATTGGAACAGCTTTATTATCAAATTTCTTATTAACTAAATCCAACAATTTGTATAAGATAGTTTCTTTATTATAAACTTCAATATTCACTGTCCAAACTGGTTGGCTATTATCAGAGTCTTCAACTTTTGTAGTAGAATTCAAATTAGTTTGTGCTTTTAAATCAATTCCAACTTTAACTTTTTTAGGAATAGGATTTTCAGTAACAACATCAATTTTTCCTCTTTTTCTTATTCCTTTTCTTCTAACATTTTCATTTTGTTTTACAGTAGAAAATGATGGCGCTGGAGTACTTGTACGTTCTAGTTGAACTAAATCAACAACATTTTTATTTACTCGAGTAATATATTTCTCTTTAACCATTTCATCAAATACCGCTTTTAAATCACTTTCTTTTACATCAATGTTCTTCGATTGAAGGACAGCAAATATGTCTTCAAAATTGAGCATACCATATGTAATCAGAGTTATTGAAATTTCTTTAGCTAACTCACCAAATTTTTGTTGCATTAAGGCAATAAAATGAGAGTGACGTAACGAAAATAATATACGGTTTTGATCAATAGAAATAATTACTGGTTCTTCATTTGAATACTTCAATATGCTGTGATGAAGTAACACAAAAAGTGCTTCATACATCTTTGAATATGGTTGATGACATTGTCTCCATAAATCAAAAATAGTTGATGGTTTAACTAATAAGTATTTTGTTATTTGTCCGACAAATTTACCAAATTGGTTTTCTACTATTTGAACAAGTAATTGATTGTAGATTGTTGTGTTCATAAGTATAACACCAATCCAGTTGTATAGGTTTTCTTTTTTTTTTTTAATATTTATATTTTTATTGTATTTTTACTATAATTTTATTAATATTTTTTTGAAAACTCAAAATTGTATCATTATGAATGAAGATATGATTGTGATTATATCACTTTTTCATGAAAAGGATTTTCTTTAAAGAATTAGATGTTTCAAGAAAAATTTTATCGATTCTTCTATTTTAATGAGGATTTTCATAATTATTAGTAATATTGGATTAATAATTCTTGAAATAATTAATATTATTTTAACTATTGTAAGTAGTTTCTATCACTTTAACTTCTTTGGAGTTGCGTTATTCTATTATCCATTATATTTTACATGTACTATCCTCAGTATACATATAGTTTTTATATTATTACTACTTACAAAAAATTATTTGTTAAGAGTAAAACAACTTCATAGAATCAATACTCCTCATCTTGCATATTATTGTTGTACATTTATTGTTACTTCTTTTTCATTTATTTTGTTCAAAACTCTTTTTGGAACAATATGGAAACAAATATCTATAGTTGTTGTAAATATCCATTATATTCTTATTGATATATGTGTTGTTAGAATCATTTGTGTTGTTATATGTTATCTTATCTCAACACATATCAATATAAATCAACTACTACCCCAACTTACCAACAACATTCGGTGTGAATTAGTTGTTAATTTTTTATTACATAATAATTCTCCTAACCCTGTTGAAGAACATTATTTAATGAATAAAAAAATAGTGTGGAGAGATATCATCAATAGAATGATTCTTGACAAAGAAAGTTTATTAGCAAAAAATCAAATCGATGAAAGAGAAACTGAACAAAAAAGTAAACAGTTGTTTGATAATCTCCATCAATTGCAAACATGTATATTCAATGGGTATGAAACAAAAAATGAGTCTTTTCAAACTGAAAGAGTTCCATTGTCTACAGTAAATGAAAGTATTATGTCTTCTGACCAAATTCTCTTTTCAGAAATTGACCATCATCAAATTAAAAAATCAATTGTAAAGAGATGTTTTTATGAAGAAGAAACTAATAAGTGGTTTGATGAAATGTTTAAAAAAGATATTATAGAAATAGAGGATTGTATTTCAGCAATTCGATTAGTTGATAAAAAAAAAGATTTATTAAAGAGAAAAGTTCGGGATAAAGAAACAATCTCAATAGCGCTTTCTCGTATTATTGATGTCTTTGGAATCCTTTTAATTCTTATAATTATTTGTTTAATTAATGGAGTTCCAATTTCATCATATTTATTACCTTCCTGTACTTTCTTTCTTGGCTTTTCGTTCATATTTGGAAATTATATGAAAAGAGTTTGGGAAAGTCTTGTTCTTGTTATTTTCATTCGACCATTCGATATTGGTGACAGAATTCAAGTAACTGGTTTTCCTGCAGTCATTATTGATGAAGTTCAACTACTAAGTACTGTTGCTCATAACCCAAATGGAGAACAATACATTCTCCCTAATGACTTTTTATATAATAGTGTTATCACACAACTTAAACGTTCACCATTTTATACAATTGAATTATACATTAATGTTGACATAACTATTGACTTTAAAATTATTGAAGAAATTCGAGTTTCATTAGAACAATTTGTTAAAACAGATACAATGTTTAAGTGGAATACAGACATAATATTTTCTCCAGTAGATGTGACTCTTGAACATAAAATTAATTTCTTACTATGGATTGAAGTAAATAATATCACTTATAATGACCCAGGAAAGTATCTTAAAGCTAAAAAGATGATTATTGAATTACTTACAAATGAGTTAGTTAAAAGAAATGTTATATTCACATTACCAAAACAACGTTTAGTTGTTGACTTAAAAACTGAAAAGTAAATATATCAAAAAGAGACTTAAATTATTTTAGGTTTTGTTCTTGTTTATTAGTGATAACCATACTATGTTGGTTAATCAAAGCTTTAATAAGGAAAATGAAACAAATGACAAGTATCACAATAAGAATTTTAGTTCTCCATGTAAGAATAGTTTTACTAAATTATAAATCAAAAACTATTCAATGAAAAACACAAACAACAAACGTTTGTAACAAAGAATTTCCATCCATATCTTTTGTCACTATTTTCTTGTCTTCATCTTCATCTATTTCTAATTCAATGCTTTGTTCTTCAGGGTTTATTCCAATTGCCACATCATCTCCTTTGTTAGTTGTGTCAACAGACTGAGATACTACAATACTATCTTCATCATTATTTTTCAAGCTAATAGCTGCCATAACTTCACTTGTTGTAGATTCACTAACATTCTCATCACTAATATTTGCATACTTTTTTATAAATTCTAATTGTTTAAACTGTTGAATAAGAGATTGCATTAATACTGTGTTTTTATTTTCTTCTGTAAAAATATCTATTAAACACTCTGGACATTTAAACTGGTTTTCACAACTTTCTGACTCATTTAAATGGATATTACTTAATGACTTTAATAAACATTCTTGATGAAACTTATGTAAACAAGGTAATCGAACTATTAAATCCCCTTCAAATATTTCCTCTCCACACAAATGACATGAGTTATCTTTTTTTACTTTACCATCAACGTAATCCACATATTGACAAATTGTGCACTATTACAAAACTATGAATGTCTATTTAGTCAAATAACAAGATTTTCAACAAACTTCTTTATGACTTTTTAAAAGACAGTTTAAACAAATATGTTTCTCATGGTCAACACAATACAAAGTTGTTTGTTCTTTACAGATATGGCAAATCCCCATAAAGCAATAATGTATTAATTGAGTTCGGAAGATGTAAAAGTCAGGAAAATAAAGACTAAATTTTTTATTTTTTTTTTGGATTATAATTTCTACTTACTAGGAAAAAATCAATAAATAATATCTCTAAGATGAAGCAATTATATACCAGAGAAATACCTGTTGACAATAATATGTTCTATTAGCAACAAGTTAATCTTATTATAACTAGCTCCATTAATTTTTTATAAATTATATCAAGTTATAAAATCCATTAATAAACAACAAACTTCAAATAGAAGAAAATGAAATTTCAATTATCGTTTATCTGAAAGTTAGCATAATAAAAAATAAAAAATATAACTTATGAATAAACAATTTCTTTAAATCTAAAGACTTGAATAAAACAAAAATATTAAGGGAAAAACATTAGGTATTGGTATGCAACTTTCAAAAAAAATTAAACACTATTATATTTACATGGTATAAATGAATTATAATAGGTTTGATTCATAATTTAAAATTCGTTAGTTATTACAAAGAGAAGAATTAATGGAAAGACATATAAAGTCAATTGATAACTAATGTTTTGTTCCATGACTTTTTTTATCATTCATCCTAATCTCAAAATAAAGAGAAAATAGAAGATTTAACTTTAAAATCTTAGACTTTCTCAACAAAATGGATATACCAAATCTAAAACTTATTTCACAAGATGGTCATGAATTTTATATTTCTCGTGAATGTGCACAACACAGTGGAACACTTAAAACAATGCTTGAAGACCAACCAACAGAAGGTATCATTACTATTCCTATTCCTGGAATTCCAAGCAAATTATTAGAACGAACCATTGAGTATATGTACTACAGACAAATGTACTCTCGTGCACCATCTCAAGATGTTATTCCAAACTTTGATATCGACCCATCAAATGCTTTAGAATTGTTACTCGCATGTTTGTTACATAATAATTTTTTGGTTTTTATTTAGAATATAAATAGATTTAATTTTTAGCACATTATCTTGACTTGTAATTTGAACTTTAAATTTAATGACTTTCTTTCAAATTTATATTTCTTTATGTAATTTTTAAATGTAATAACAATAAATTATTCTTTTAGTTTTATCTTGTTATAAGATATTACTCACTTTGACCTATGAAAGGTTAGTAACATAAAACTAAAAGAATATAAAATATAACAATACCAAATGCTAGAAATTCACTGAGTATTTTTCCTTTAATAAAAAGGTTTTCCAGTTATTACAACACAACTTAACTAAAAATAATAAAGAACTATTAAATAATAACTTTATGTCAAGTAAATCAGCTAAAGAACAATTAGAACAGGAAAAGAAGATACGAAAGAAAAAAGCGTTACTTCTTGAGCCAAAAGAATCTAATGCAAATAAATTTAAATATTTACAATGGCTTATTGAAGAGGATAGTGATATAGTTTCATATTGTAAAATAAATCATTCATTGACTGGATTAATTCTAAGTGAATATGCCACTGGACAAGTTGCTCATTGTAAAAAAGGAAAACAAACTAGTAAAGCTGCATTAAGCCAATTAAAAATAATCGAGTTTGCAGGAAAAGTATTTCCATATAATGAATTTCATGTATTTGAGTCGTTGTTTTCATTATTTGAGAATTATCTTTCTATTGGAACTGATACAATTTTAAGACGTGCAGCATACGAAACTCTATTAAATATGTATCAAGACAAACAAGAATATTCTTCACAGTTTGCAAGATATATCATATCTTCAATGAATATTGGAAGTTTAATTGATCTACCACCAAACCAACCATTTCCTAGTTTGGTTAATGAACCTTATGTTCCTTCTGAAGAACCTGTTGATGAACGATCACTTTCAATGGAATTTATTGATAAATTTTTGGATCGATTATTAAAGAAAGAGAGTTATAAAACATTTCTTCCTATTGCAGAAAATATTTGTGCATTACTATTTCCATCATTTTCTAAAACAATTACATTGTCATGTGTTGTCCCATCATCAGGATTAGGAGATATTCCAACACGATTAATGGAAATTATTTTAACTGATTTACGAAAATTAATAACTAGTGATATTAAAGAAATGTTTTTCAAAGAAGAAGGTGCAACTCCATTCTTAGAGTTTATTCTATCAACAGCACTTAATTTCTCACCAGAAACTTTCCAAAATGGACTTAATTATTTCACATTCTTTTATACAGAATTTGTTGCTAAAACAAACACTGCAATAAGTTATGAAAATGCACTTGGAAGTAACAAATTATTAGAATTTAGAAGATACATTATTCAATGCATTGATATTCCATTTGATCATGCTGAAATGAATCCAAATATTCGTTGTTTTACATCAGCACTTCATTCAAGAATGATGGAATTATTAAACAATGAATTAGATTTAATGGATGATATGAAAGATTTACTTATTGCAACACTTGTTAATAATATTAATAAATTAATTACTTGTTATCGTGATGATGCTGTTGGTTCACTTGTTGATACTATTATTACATCTTATGTTAGATGGAGACATTCTGCTACAGCATATAATAAATTATATGATATGCTTCATCAATTTTATTCTTCTTCTGGATTATTAACTCAGTTATGTCAAAAAATTATTCATGTAACAAAACAAATTATTTCCTTACCAACGAATTCTACTCCACAAAATCCTAATCAAATGGTACGTTATATAAGTGTTGAACCAGATTATATATTTCCTAATGATGATCCTACATTTAAAGAAATGATTAAACTGAAACCAAATGAAATGTTTGAATTATGGGAAGGACTTTGGTTTATGATACAAGATACATGTATGGAAACAGCAGTAAAAAATTGTATCACAAGTGTGAGAAAAGTATGTGAATTATTAATAAGATATGATGGAGAAAGTAAAGTTGATTTAATGAATACTTTTGGTACATATTTCCTTCGTAGTCTTTCATCTTCAGAAGAAATTGAAGTAAAAATAACTGCAGGATTAGGATTATGTGATTTATTTGTTAGAAATAAACGATATGTACTTCCAGCATATTCTACATTTTATGAAAGTATTGTCTCTCTCATTCCAAATGCACCATATGAATTTCTTCTTGGATTACATGACATTTTTTCATTAAGATTACCAGGATGTACTAGAATGATTGTTCCATTACTTTCTATGCTTCAACAACTTCCAACATTACCAGAAAAGTCTCATGAGAATATTGCAATGAAAATTATTGGATTATTAAATTCATTAATTTATGCAGAAAAATTATATCCACAAGTTTTTCCATTAATTGAATTTAAAGAAGCATTAGGAGATTTTAATTATTCTCTATATTATGCTCAAAAACATTTAATGACTCTATTTCAAGACTCTATTGCACAAGAAACATTATTATGGGGATTGGCATGTCATCTTCATCTTCTAGTTGTTCAACAAAAACAAAATGATTTAGCATTGGATATATTAAAGTGTTTGATGTCTTATTTACCAACTGAGAGATATGGATGTGTTTGTCAAATTATTTCATCATTAGCACGATTATCACCACCATTACCTGTTCCATTAATTACAGAATTACATGTTTCTGCATTCCAAATGATTTCCACTTTAAACAATCAAACCGTAGGAAGTTTACTTTGTGCATTGATGGAATATCTTATTTCCCCATCTGTGTCTCCAGCAATTCATTCTCTTGATATAGCTAGTATTATGCTTGAAGCACTCACCAGTGCACTTCATATGAATACAACAACTTCTAAACCACATCGAATTATTGCAGGAGAAGCAGCAGAAGCATATATTGGATTATATATATCAGGACTAGGTACAGAAGGAGCTTTATTAGTTAATTCTACTGGATCAGATGTGTCAGATAAATCAACTAAATGGTTCTTTAATGACAATACATTATATTCTGTAACACATCCAGAAAATGGAGAAGATGTCACGATTTGTGTAAGAAATAGTGTTGGTAGATTTGAATGGAAATTTACAGAAGTACAAGTTCCTAATTGGAAAAAGACTATTGAACATATAGAAGTTCTTGGTAATGTTTCTGAAGGAGATGGTATTGTTGTAGAAAATATTCATAGTGATATTAATGATGTTTCACAGCTTATTGATTTAATTCCAGAAGAACTTGTTTGGGATTTCCCAACTGAAGTAGGAAATAAAGAAGAATTTGACGAAACATTAAAAACAACAACAAAGGAATGTATTGATATGAGAAAAACTCTTCAACAAATACCAAAAGAGAAAATTGAAATTTTACCACCTTCTTTACCAGAAAAAATTGATGTATCAATTACCTCACCATTAACAACAGGATTATTAATGACTGAATTATTCTTCATTGATGGATTAGCTATTTCATCAAGACTAACATCATTACCATCTCATGACAAATTTAGAAATTTAGTCAGTGCTCTTGATAAAACTCCTGCAAGAAGAGTATATCCAATTGGGTTGATTTATGTAAAGAAAGGAATGAAAAATAAAGAAGAGATATTAAAGAATTGTGAAGTTTCAAGAAGATATGAAGGATTTTCAAGCTCATTAGGAGAACAAACGGATATTAAGAAATATAATGGATTTATTGGTGGAATGGAAAAAACAGGAAATGATGGTGTAACGGTTCTTTATTATAAATCATCAACAAGAGAATGTGTTTATCATGAGAGTGTCAGAATGCCATCTGTAGAAGGTAATGAAGAAAGAAAATGGAAATTAATTGGTGATGATCATGTTGTAATAATATGGAATGAAAATAATGAAGAACAAAACCAAGTTAAAGTTGAAGAACAAAATAATGGAAATATTTCAAGTCAAGTAATTATTAAACCAGGAATATGTGGTGTTGATACTATTGAAATACAAAGAAACAAAGATGTAAGAGTATTTGGACCATTATTAGATAATATGGTTGTTCCTGAAGATATTTTAGGAGAACTTACAAGAGAAACAGCTTTCAATGCATCAGATAATTCAAAACAAAGAATTATAGGAGATGATGTGATGTTACCATATTTACAAAGAAAACAAATGATAGATGATATAATTCCAAAGAATCCAACGTTCTCACAAAAAGGATATTTATCAACAATCAGTGTGTTCTTAGATGATAAAGAACCTACTAAACAAGAAAAATAATTTACAATTTGTTAAAATTTTTTATTTCTTTCTAATATATTATTTTTAATTCATTAAATCAAATTATTTTAAAATATTTTCTTCTTTTTATTTATTTTTTTATTCATAATAACAAAATACTCAAATAACAAAAAATTAATTTGTATTTTAAAATTTAAGTTGCTTTAATATATCTGGTAACTCAGAACAATATGGCTTTTCTTCTAATCCTTTAAGGAAAGAAACAACTTTTGCTAATATATGTATTTAAAAAGTATAAAAAAATTTTATGGAAAACACTAGAATTAAATAATTAAATTTGATTGTACTAATGAGTTACTCCACAGGCGGTAAATCATCCGGATAACCACCATTTTGCAATAGACTTCGAACTAAAACTTTGGCAAGAATGTATTGATGAGCATTTAACGATCCATTTTTACCGGAATCAGCAATAGACCAGATCTTTTTCAGAGCTTTCTTATCTGCTCCAGTAGCCATCAGTGGAGCAAAACAGTCTTTACCATTAACCTTACCTTCTTCGTTCTTTGGTAATTTATCAAATTCTTTTTGGTAAGCAAAAATTTCATCGTCAGTTACTTCTAAAATATCCATACATTTTTCATAACCAGTTGATGCTTCAAATGGGTTAGAAGAAGAAGACAAACTATCTTCCATTGGATATTTCTTTAATAACATCGGAATATCCGTGCCTAGTACGTCATCAATAGAAGCAATAAGCTTTGTATCTAACTTAGGGAATTTAGTGAAATCAAGTTCATTTAATTTTTCTTTATAAAGCTGGATTGGTGGGAAATCACCAGCAGCCAAATTATATTTTCTCATAATAATATTAAAGACATTATTCAAATCAGCAATAAGTTCTGCCTTCTTTTTTTCTTTACCAAATGTTGGCATTTGTTCACGAAGATATGATGTAATGTATGCGTTTGTTTTAGCTAATCTAGCACGTTTACATAATTCATTAACTTTACGAACAGTAGCTTGTTTTGGTAATGCATGAAGGTCATACATTAAATCATCACGTTCTTTTTCAAATAAAGAAGTAAATAAAGTATCTTTAAATGGTTGGTCCCAGAATGAAGAGACATAGACTCTAAGACATTCTGGTGTTTGCATAACTTTACCAAGTGACCACATAAGAGCTCCATATACTCTCATTAATTGTTGTGAATCAATAGAATCTGCTTTATTCAATACAATTTTCATTTTTTCTGAGTGTTTCTTAACAGATTCAATAACTCCTTTAAATTCATCAGAAATATCTAATTTATGTGCATCAAATACAAGTACAATCATATCAGCTCTTTCAGCAAACCATCTTACAACTTCATTAAAATCATATGATCTACCAATTCTTTGTTTTTCTCCAGACAAAACACCAGGAGAATCGATAAAAGTCATATGTTCAAGGAGGGGAAGATTACAATATGCACCACTAAATTTAGCCATAAAATCATTACCGAATCTAGCCAAATTAGTAAATGGTTTATCTGTTTGAACACATAAAGTATTTCCTGGAACATTACCATTTGTTGGTCCATGCATAATAGCTGCAAATCCATCAGTAGTTGGTTCAGGACCAATATTTGATCCTGGATAATCATAATTTAATAAATAATTAATAAAAGTAGTTTTACCAGTAGAGTATTGACCAAGGAATAAAACCATTGGCTTTGCATCAAAGTCAGCTGGTCTCATAGTTGGAGAAATTAAGTAATCATATTTATAATCAGTCTCTAATTTTTTGAGTTTAGTATCATAAATCTTTTTAATACCATCAATAACAGAGGTATAGCTTTCATCAATTTGGTTCTTTCTTCCTTTTCTTCCGAATGGCATTTGTATGTTATTTAACAAGAAATCTTTATTCAAGTTCTAAATAAATAATGTGGGTTTTGTAATTCTTCCAACTTCTTTTTTTTGTTTCTTTTCTTACTTTATTACAACTCATGAAAATAGTTTTGTTTGGCTTTTCTTTTTATTTCCGTTATATAAAACATTTATTTCTTTATTGAGGTTTTTATTTTCTGAAATTCTTTGTTCATTTCCACTTTTATTGTCTGACATTTATTGTTCTGTTGTGTCTGTTTAAATAAATCTTTTTTATTTTTTACTTTGTAAAGAATGGTACCAATAATTTAATTAGAGTTTATGAGACGAGTTGTAGTTATGTTACCTAATAAAACAAAACAGAAATTCAAAGAAAAATAAAATAACAAATTTAAAAACATTAAAAAATGTTATTAAAAGAAAGAAAAATGAAAATAAAACATAAAAAGAAATAAATTGAATTATCAGATAATTTCCATACAAAAAATAGTATCTTGAAATATGATTCAAGTATTATTGAATAAAATTCAATTGAAATTCAAATTAATTAACGATTTATTCAAAATAAAATCAAATAAAAAAACAACGTAGAAGCACGTGTTTTAATTTTAAAAAAATAATAATTCTTCATATTTTTGATAAAAATTAGTGAGAAAATGGAAGTTAGTATTTTTTGATAACCTCAACTACAAAAAATGTTAAATGAATAGATATAGAGATATTGAATAGAAGTAGAAACGATTCATAAAGTAAATTCAAAGATATTAATAATTAAATATGTCTAAATAAAAACAAAACTCATTAAAAACTGAAAGGGTTATTTTTGAAAAGTTGCAATTTCAACTTAAATTACAAGAATGAACAGTGAGAAAAAAGGGTAAAAAAAAGAGTATTTAAACCTATGTTAGAACTTTAAACATAATTCTAACATTAATGGCTAATATTGATTCTAATAAAGTGTGGTCTCGTGTTAACAATGATCCAAATGTTGAATCAAAACCACTTCATGTTCTTGTAACTGGAGCTGCAGGTCAAATTGGATATAATCTTCTTTTCTTAATTGCTCATGGTTTAATGTTTGGTCCAAATCAAACAGTTTATTTACATTTATATGATATTATGGTTGAAGCTATGGAAGGAGTAAAAATGGAATTAGCTGATTGTTGTTTCCCACTTGTTAAAGGAGTTGTAGCTTCAAATAAAACAGAAGTTGCATTTAAAGATGTTGAATGTGCTATTTTAGTTGCTGGTATGCCAAGAAAAGTAGGTATGGAAAGAAAAGAATTAATTGGCATTAACACTAGAATTATGAAAGAACAAGCTCTTGCTCTTAAGAATTTTGCTAATCCTCATGTTAGAGTTTTAGTTGTTGCTAATCCAGCTAATACTAATGCACTTGTAGTTGCTAATAATGCTGGAATTGATGTTAAACAAATTACTTGTTTAACTCGACTTGATCAAAATAGGGCTATTGCTCAAATTGCAAGTAAATTAAATTGTAAAGTTGAAGATGTTTCTGATGCTTTTGTATGGGGAAATCATTCAGAAAAACAATGTCCAGATATTTCTCATGCAGTTGTTCAAACATCAAATGGACCAAAAAGAGTAGCTGACCTTGTTGAAGAGTCATGGTTAGAATCTTTTAATAAAACTGTTCAAGAAAGAGGAGCTAAAGTAATTGAAATGAGAAAGGCATCATCAGCTGCTTCAGCTGCCAAAGCAATTGTTGATCATTTTAGAGATTGGTGTCTTGGAACAAATAAAGAAAAGATAGTTTGTATGGGAGTTTATAGTGAAGGACAATATGGTATTCCAAAAGGAATATTCTTTAGTATGCCAGTTGTCTGTTATGGAGGTGAATATCATATTGTTGATGATTTAAAATTAGATGAACATATAAAAGAAATGCTTAAAAATTCAGAAGAAGAACTTATTGAAGAACAAAAATTAGAGACTGCCTTTGAAGAAATTACACAACAATCCCACGTTCATGATTAAAATTAAATAGATTTGTTGTAACGTTTACTTTTTATTATTCTGACATAAGTATTATCTAATGAATAATTTTATAAAGAGAAAAATATTGTATTTTAGTTTGAATGAATAAGAATTTTTTATTGAATAAAACGTTTAAATAATCAATGGAAGAAAATAATTTGTATTGGTTAATGGAAAAAAAATAAGAACTTAATAATAGTTTATAAAAAAAAGAATGAACTAAAAGACAAGTAATTCAAATATAAGTTCTTTATTATGGCTACCACTTATCAAGCATATTTAGATACTATTAGAGCAACTTTGAATAGTGCAATGTGTGTAACTAACTTTGCATCACAATTAATTGAAAGACACAATAAACCAGAAGTTGAACTTGGTCTTTCAAAAGAAGTTATTTTTAAACCAGTAGTTATTGTTAGAGTACCATCTGAACCAAGTGGTGAAGAAAATGGAGTTGATAAATGTGAGAAAGTAATGATTGAAGGATCAATTAACTCAGTAAGAATTTCAATTTGTGTTAAAAAAGCTGATAATCTTGAAGTTATTCTTCTTAGAAGATTTGTTTCATTCCTTCAACAAAGAGCTGAAAATTTTGTTATTCTTAGAAGAAAACCAATTAAAGGATATGATATTTCTTTCTTAATTACTAACTTCCAAACAGAAAATCTCTTTAAACATAAACTTATCGATTTCATTATTGAATTTATGCAAGAAATCGATAAAGAAATTTCAGATATGAAGATTTCTGTTAATACTCGTGCTCGTATTGCTGTTGCTGGTATTACTGGCACTTCACCAGCTCCTGGTTTCTTCAAGGCATTATTAGCTTAAATCAAACCAAATCATTTTTTTTTTTTATTTTTTTTGTTATTTATCTTTATAAAATACTTTTTATTTTTTTTTTGTTTGGTTATTATTGTTTTCAATTCAAAAGTACTTTGTCAGAAACACCACACAAACACTAAAATAAATTAAATAAATGAACTACCAATTATAATCTGGTTATGGAGTTACTTTTTGCCAAATAATACTTATTCAAGACTAATTGGTTAATATTTATTAGTACTTATTATAAGCTATTATTAAAGAATTATTTAATATAATGGTATTATTTATTTATCAACATACAAATATATTTGATAGTGAATAGTTTAAATTGAATATATATAGGTGTTATCAAGAAAAGAGTGTTTGTTAATTTGTTGCTGATATTGAAGGAGATAAAATATATTCATAGTGTTATGGATATATTCTTCTTAAAACAAAAATAGAAAGAATGAGGAAGTTTAACACATATTAAATCCAAAATAAAAATCAAATAATAACTGAAACGAAGAATAATAAAGTTGATGATATTTAAAAAAACAACTTTAATTTAAAAGAAATAAAACGTGTTGAAGGAGTTGCTTCATTCACTTCATAACACGTTGAAAACCTAAAATTAGTTAAATCATAATTGATTTATTTTTATTTAATTTTTGTTTATTTCTAATTGTTTATTCAAGAAAAGAAAGAAAAAGAGGAAAGAACTAACCGAAAAAAGAAGAGAAGAAAGATCTAGAAGAAGAGAAAGAAGAAAAAAAGAGTCTGGACAAAATGAAAAAAAGAATCTGGACAAAGAGAAAAAAAAGAAGAGAATATATAAAGAGGAACTGAAAGAAAGAAATACATAGGAATGAAAGCATTGGAAGTAGTAAAAGACTTATATTGGGTAGGAGTATTTGATAAAGAATTACGAGTGTTTGATATAATAATGACAACACCATATGGAACTTCATACAATTCATTTTTATTAAAAAGTGAGAAAGGCAATGTATTATTTGAAACATGTAAAGAGAATTTTGCAGGAGAGTGTTTAGAGAGAATAGAAGATGTCATAGGAAAAGAAGGAAAATTAGATTATATCGTATTAAATCATACTGAACCAGATCACAGTGGATCATTAGTTCACATATTAGAGAAATACCCAGAAGCAACAGTAATTGGAACTATGGCAGCATTAAATAATATTAAATACATTGGACATATTAAAGAAAATACAAAGACATTAAATTCAGGAAAGATTAAAACACTTGACTTAGGAAATTATCACTTAAAATTCCTTATTCAACCATTTTTACATTGGCCAGATACTATGATGACAGTTATTGAAGAAATGAAAGTATTAGTTAGTTGTGATGTTTTTGGAGGACATTATGCAGATGAAAGAGTATTTAATGACCAAATGATGGAGAGAATTAAAGATATGGATGATGCATATAAACACTATTTTGATTGTATTTTTGGACCATTTAAAAATTATGTAATTAAAGGACTTGATATGATTGAAACACAAATGGGATTCCCAAGCGATGAACTTAAAGCTATTTGTTGTAGCCATGGACCTGTTTTAAGAACACACATTAAAGAAAATATCGAAAGATATAGACAATGGGCACAACCTATTGCTTTAAAAAATAAAGTTGTTATTGCTTATGGATCTGCTTATGGATATACTCAAAAAATGGCAGAACAAATTAGTGAAGGAATTAAATCTACTGGTGTTGAAGTTAAGATGTTTAATATTGTAGAGTCTTCTGTTGGTGATGTTTTAAAGGAATTTGAAGATGCTAAAGGTTTACTTTTAGGTACACCTACTTTAGTTAATGATACTATTCCTCCTATTATGCAAATTGCATGTAGTCTTAATCCAACTATCCATTGTAATAGATTTGTTCAATGCTTTGGTTCATTCGGTTGGAGTGGTGAAGGTGTTAAAAACTTATCAGCTAGAATCGTTCAATTAAAAGTTCACCAACCTGTTGAACCTTTATCTATTAAATTCCAACCTAATTCTAATGAATTACAAACATGCTTTGAATGGGGAAAGAAATTTGCTGAGGCCCTTAAAGCTTAATCCTTTTTTTCTTTGACTTTTCTTATTGTTTAGATGTTTTTCTTTTATTTGTAATTAGTGTATTGATATTTCTCTTTTAAAATTAATGTATTAATTATTAATTATTACCAATATA